TCACTGAAATGGTAGTCTTCAAATGCCTATCAGGGGAAAACATGAAATCTAACAGAAAAAAAACCCAAGAAAAAAACCCCACCAAAACCTGCCTCTCTCTCAGGTTACTCATTAGCTTCCTCTGGAGTCTGTCAAGAACAAAGCTTTGGATTTTATAACATCATATTCCTCTACCTACAATCACTTTTGTAGTCAGAGTGGTTTACCAGAGGAAATTGCAGAGAAACAGCCACTTAATTTTTCTTTGTGACATAAAGCAAGCAAGTAGTACATCAATAAAATGACCCAGCATGTTATGCTATTTCCAAAATGATGTTTCATTTAAAGTAAAGAGAAATGGCATTTGAATTAATTTGTTCTCAAAGAGTGGAATCATTATTTTCATATTACTTCTATTGTTATTTATATTTGTTTTATGATAACACTTAAGGGCTCTCAATACAGCTGATTGTACCAGATAGAAAAATTAAGAAAAGGCTTCATTTAGCAACTATTGATTTTAGTCATGCAGAAGTTAAGTGCCTAGATGGCCCAGAGCAAATAGGTACTCAAGGTGCAAACTAATCCACGTGAATTTATTCATCTCTAAGTTAGGCATTTAGTTTGAGCTAATTATCTAGGCTTCCCCTCTAATTATTAGGAAGAGACAGGCATCTTAGAAGGATGATTCATTTCTTCTTAAGATTGGTATGATGAAATTTTGAAGTGATGCCCATGACCTTTTTCCATGGAATAGAAAGCCTAAACAGCTGGTTTAGACTAGATTTATATAAAAGGAATAAGGTAACATGAAATAAATTCCACCCTGATGGTGGGTTGCCTGCATGCGCTCAGCATAAAATATGAAAAAAATCCTTTGTGTAATAAACAAACATGATATTTTTCAATTAGTATGAAAGATTACTAATCTTTCTGGTGTAATAGTTTCTTACTCTGTGAGTAATTCCACTGAAATCTGAGAACCAGGGACAATTCTTTGTGAGTTTTAGTTGGAAAATTTTCCTCCAAGAGATGCATTTAAGTATTTTTCTTTTCCAGGCTACACAGCAATCTGATGAATATTCCATCTTACATATTTTATTCTTTCATTACTCTAAAGCAAAAGAGATAAGAGTAATTATATCCAACAGCAAGGATTATTTTATAGGAATATGGGTAATACTCTGCTTGGAGTCAGCTATAGCCAACATGTTTTTAGGTTACAATCACAAGTTTGATCAGAGAAATAAACTTTATCTCTGACATTGTTCTGACAGAATAGAAATTACAATCCCTAGTGTTACTCAAGTGGGACGATATTTCAAGGGAGCTCTTTTCAGAGGTGACCAGCCAACAGACTGTGAGCTCAGCCTGACTGTTGTTCACACTCCCTGCCTACTCTGTATATGGGCTGCCCACACAAGGCAATTAAACCAGCCTGTGACTGGCCACTCATTGCTAGATTCTGTTACTTCTTTCATGAGGTTCTTGTTACAGAACTAAAACCACTTCACTTCCTGAGACATGACAAGAAAAAGTCTGGATGGGTACTGTTCAGCAATTCACATGGATAGTGAACATTTTGATCATGTCACTACTCACACGCACAAGTATCGCACGTGTTCTCCTGATCCCCGTCACACCAAGGGAAATGCATTCATTCTCATAGCGGAACAGTGATACACATGCTTGTCTTGTCACTTAAGAGGTAGGAGAACAGGTAGGTCAATGTTTTGGCAGCCAGGGTGGTACTCCAGGGGAGGCTTTTGTGAGAAGAGACCAGGGGCTGCTCTGTGCTGGACACAGTATCAGCCAGCTCTGCAATGCACTCACTGCAGGCCACAGCTGAGCCCATCAGCCTAGCCGGTGGCACCCTGGAAAAACATTTAAGAAAGGGCAAAAAATATTGGGGGCAAGGAACACAGAGAGAAAGGCTGTGGGGAGCAGAGAGAGAGGAGGAGGAAGAAGGAACAAGAAGGCCAGAGCAGTGGGAGGTGTTCCACACTGGATCAGGTATGTGCCCAAAGGGACTGTGGTCTGTGGAGCAACAAGCAGTGACAGAAGGAAAGTCAGCGAAGCACTGACTTCATCCTTGTGTGCCACCCAGTGCTTCCTCAAAGGGACTGTGCCCCACATGCAGCAGTAACATGGCAGGAGGAGATATCGGGAGAGAAGGTGTGGAGACTAGGAAGGCAACAAAAAGGAATCTGAAGCTGAGCCTGGAAAAGTGAGAAGAAATGTGTTTTTCCTGCAAGATTAAATATTTGTCCTTTTTTGTTGTTGTTTCCCAATACTCCAACCAATTAAATATTTATGCTACTTAGCAATAAATTAAGTTAAAATCCCGAAGTGGTTTTGCCCATGACAGTGATTTTCCTGTCTTTATTTTAACCCATGAGTTTTCTCACTCCCGTTCCTACAATTTTCTTCCCTATCTCCCTAGGGAAGGGAGGAAGGGAGTGAGTGAGCAGCTGTGTGAGTGCTTCGCTGTTCGCCAGGGCCAACCCACCCGTTTAAAATGAAACAGGATAAATGGATCCAATGGCAAATTACTTTTATTGATTACCAGTAGCCAAAAGTTTCTTTGCTGTGATCCAATTCATCTGGATTCTAAAAGTGAACTTTTTACCAGGGGGAGAAATGGTAAAGCTTTTTAAGGAAAAAATAATTCAATTTGAGACCAACTGACTTATGGTGGTGCTGCTGCAAGCAGGAAGCTCACAAGACATAAACAAGCAGCTTCTCCTTCCTCTTAATTTGCATGGGTAAGAGATATTAAAAATAAACAAGTGTAGTGGCTTATTGAAGACCAAGCTCCTTCCGGTTCCAAAAACCGGAAAATCTGGTTTATGTTACTTTTGTCCTACAACTAATATTCAGGGAATGGTGTGTCCTCATTCTACAAATAGTCATGAATGTGTTTCATAACAAATTATTTGGAATTTTTTTGACAAAAATCTTTCTAGCAGGGGAAAAAAAAGTGTTTTTTTAATTTTTAAAAGCAGTAATTTAAAAATTAAATTGTTCTCCTTTACTTTTACACCGTTCTTTTGGGCTGTATTATTTTGAACAGAGTTAAAATATTAACCCCAAACTACCCAATTTTTAGGACCCAATGCAAAATCAGAAGATAATAGAATTATCCATTCATCATTTTCATTTTTCCCCAACTAACATGATGGTAAAAGAGCTTCAGAAATGTGGAGGAGGAGGGAAGTAGGATGGTAAGTAATTTTCTAGCCAGCTTTAATGAAGAGATACTCCACTAGCATTATACACTAAACAATAAAAGTACAAAAGGGTTTAAAATAAAATACAATTATTTCAAAACAATATGTAAGGAACACGAAGTTAGGAGGTCATACAAATCACGAAAAATATTTATCCTAGAAAGAACACTTGTTCAATCAGGAAAAGAAGGACTATGAGCTGCATAGTGGCTATATAGCCGCCTGGCTGCAAACTATACTGATCAGAGTCTGCTAAAAAAATGTGCCAGCCAAAGGGCAAATATACCTACAAAATAAGACATATACATTAAACAACTTTTTATGCAGTTCCAAGGATTTGATACTTTATTAATTTCAATAAACATAGAAAGGAGTAACTGACTCTCACATCAAGAAAAAAAAAACAATTGTGAGTATACTTAGCTTGGCAAAATATTTGAGGGATAGAATTTAAACATCTTAGGATTAGGCAACAATTAAAACGAAAGTCTTAAAATGAAGGATATCTGAAATAGCAAATCATTCTACGACTAAAAATATCTGCCTACAAGAGGAGGCTATGTGGGTCTTTAGAGACTGACAGAAAATAAAAATACCCCAAACAAACAGTGAAGAAATGCATATATTGTATTACAGCAATATAGGAAAACCAGCAATTTAAGGCAGAGGTATTCAGGTTCCTTCTGCCCTGTGTAAGTAGAAAACTCTTGCTCTTTCTCTCCCTTCCTCCCCTACCTTTTCTCTAGTCTTTCCTCCTCACTTTCAAAGGAAGTTAATGAAACTTGTAAATTCTTGCTGTTAAAACAGAACACCATTCCTTTGTCCACAGGAGCTAAGAGGCCAACCCCACCACAACAAAATAAAAATTATCATTAGCTCAAAACTATAGCAATTCTCTTCATTTTCACCTTATTTTGTATGACATTTTAAGATCATAAAGAAATATAAAAAGTATTAAGAAAGGCATTTTTCCATTTTCTTGTGGCACACCTTTTCTCGTGATATGCCAGCATTAGCTTTCATTTAACATTTGAAAGTTTCTCAATAATAGCTCCAGGGGTCTTTTTATCTTTTGGCCTGGACTGAAGCACACTGCAAGTATTTCTGAAGCAAATAACATGCTTTTTCAATTGTATCAGAATGCTTTTAAAATAAGCTTTTAAAAATGGACATTTTCCTTTGCTTTGTGCCTTCAGGTAAAACACAACCTTACGTTTTTAAGGGATGGATTCTGTTCATCAGTGAGAAAGAATGTATCAATTCCTTAGTCAAAAATGCATTTTTCCAGGACTAATACTTTACTGCTATTATTAGACAATTGCTATACTAGACAACATATCCAGTTGTCTATTAGAAAAATATATGAATTAGAGATGTGATGCTAAGAGTAAGTTTTGTAAATGACTAATCCATGTCAATAGCTTCTAATTTTCTTCATCATAGTTGTTAGTCCTGTCAGCAGTGCAGAATATAAACAACAAACAACAAACAAAAGGAAAGGAAGAAGATAAAGTAGCCTTACTGACTTAGACTTCTAATGAAATAAATTTTGTAGCACTAGGGATTCCTGCAGAAAGTGTGTTTGCCTACACCATCATACAAACACCACTCTGGCTAGTAATATCAGAGGAAAACAGATCCGTCTGAGCTCTACACCCTAAGATCTCCTTATGAGTATGGCTGATCAACTGATTATTTAGCATGGTAGAAAAAAAGATGAGGCCATTTTTACACCAAAGTTAAAACATTTTTCCAGGATGCAAAAAATCCAAAATCACTGTCATTGCATACCTGAAGCAGTTCAATCTTGTGTGTTCACAGTCCAGAGTGCCATAGACACAATTCTTGTTAAGTACTTCTTAAAAAGCCATCTCCAATGTCCTGTCTTCCTCCTCTCATTCTCAACTAATTTTACGTCATTCATTTATTTCATCCCCAAATTTCTGCTCATAGAATCAAAAATCCATCACACAAACTCTTCTCCAATCCTTATTTTATTAAACCATGCCCTACCCCATTCCAAATCCCTTCCTACTGAAGAATCCCATACTAATGTGCCATGATCTAAACTCAGGCTGAATACCTTCTGGATGCAGTGGCTCGACTCCTCCAATTCTGCTTGCCCAGGTACTGCTATTCTCACTGCCACTCCAGCATTAATCACTACTCTGGATGCTGCTGCGTCTCTCTGTTTGTCTCCTCCATGACTTCCCTCCACACAGCAGAGGCTCTTCCACCTGCCAGCAGTACACACTGCTCCCTATTGGCGACTGGCTCTCCTCATGTTAAAGCAGCCTCGGCTGCTGGTCTGACAGGCTTTAACACAGGTCTGCACTTACCAAAATCCACCTGGAGAGCACCCTAAGGGCAGAAGCAAAATATATGTTTGTGAGAAAACAGGATGTATGGAATCCATATTATTAACGAGCCATTACAAAACTGCATAGCAAGCAATATTTGTGGTCAGATTTTGTTCAAACACTTGTTTTGGTTAAACAGGCTTCTCCTCTTTCATCTTCCTTCTTCTTGTCTCAGCATGGTTGCCCAAATGCAGTTTTTCTGTTTAAGCCTGGCAGATATAACCTATTCAGAAGTGATTATTTTTTCCTTACCTTTTCTCTTTCTCTATTATTCCTTGCCATCCTTCTCTGTCTCAGTGATTCCTCTTATAGATACTGTCCCCTCAGTAGCTGTGTTTATCCCCAGTTTACAGGTTGGATGTGTATGGGGTTACAAAGGAAAATATTAGATTTAATAACTCAGTGAAAGTTACAGTTAAGTCTTGTAGCCCTCCACTTTTGAATTGAATGGATTTTGTCAGATTACATATACTGCACACAAACTTCAAAACTACAAGCTTACTTCTTACAAACTTACCCACTCCCCTCCAAAACTATTTAACAATTCATTTCCATTTGATTCTTGAAACAGACTTCATAATCAAAATTACATACACTTTTAACATTACTTTTTAAACAACTAGAGCTTAAGTGCTATGAAAAAAACAGTTGCACAGCTGGAAAATCTTATGGTTTATAAACAACCTCCTTTCTTTTTTGTTCAAAATGCTTTCACAATTCAATGCTTATGCTCCTCTTAACCTGTTGTAGGCAGGGAATGTTCTACTCCATTGCAATACCTAATAATAAAGTCCATTGGGTTACAAAATAATTTGCCACTATAGTTGATAATATCTCACAGACAAGAGTAGATGGTATTAGCAACCTTTTTTTCTTTCTTATAAAAAATACATTGCATTAGGTTAATGAGAAAAAGACAATACTGAATATGTTATTATTTCTTATGATTGCTAATTTCCTGCCATGAAGATTTTAATTTGAGCTGTGGAAGAATATGAACTCCAAATACACATTACCCTAATGTTTACAATTAAACTATACATAAATTACAGACTTTGGGGCAGAAGGGACATTTTACCTTGCAGCACGGAATTGTTTCAGTTTCTGATTCTAGTTTTCAAACAAGATGGCTGTGCACTTATTATCAGTAAATGAGTACAAAGTCCTGTCACGTGAACTGAAACAGAAGGGTGGAGGGGAAGAAGGACAACACTGAAAAAGGCAACTCACTATCCAACACCCACATGATTTCTTGATAAGACATTACTTCACTAGTAGGAAACAATCTCAACATGTTTTCATAATGCCTATACGCACATGCCTAACCAAGATGCTTGTTTTAGTTTGTTACTGATTCTCCTGTTAGACTTTTTCAGTGTTAGTGATTTTGCATGATATTTTTGGAAAACAAGGGCAGTGCCAGAATCCCAGGTACATTTCTGCCTTCTGTACACATGAAAGCATTCCTGCTGAATATCTACATAGCAACTTTAGGAAAACTGCACTGAAACACCTTGTAAAATATAATCAGATCAGCGTTTTTCATACTTTTCCATCAGAGGCACAGAAATATTTAGAGATTCTCTTTTTATAAATATCATACACTATAGCCCGTCCTGGTTTGTTCACTATGCATTGTCTTAGAAACTGTATGTGCTCCCAGAAAGTCCAAGCACCCTCACATGAAAAAAAATCATTCATTCTAGTTCACCATATTATAGCTATTGTCCTCCTCACCCCAGCTTATGTATTTTTTACAGAGATTTGATCAGGAAGAGAAAGATGGATGTCGAAAGATATGTGACAATCAATGCTGATGAAACTTAACACAATCCAAGCCTTACATTCTAAATATGGGATTTTCCTTTTCTTTCATTCTTTCCATTCTTCCACTCCCTCGCAATGATGGGGAGAAATCAAATTGGACCAAGGTTTTTGAACAGCTGTCTAAATGCAAAGTTTAAATTACATTTTTCTGTGGTTCAGGAAATCAGTACAGCTTGTCCTGAGCCTTCTCCTGCATTTTTCCTCTGTCTATTTAAAAATAACATTGTACTGTAACAACTTTGAAAGAATTTGAAATTACCAAGCTTTTCTCTGTCTCAAATACAGATAGAAAATGCTAGCCCTATCTTAAGCCTTTGAAAAACTGCACTACTGTCTTGCAGTTATTGAAAGTTATTATTAAGTGAATATAAAGACAATTTTTAAAAAATCTTGTCAGTCTCCCTAAAATCAATAACCAAGTAGTTTTTAACCCCCTTGATTAATGATATTTTTAATCATATTTTAGAAGACACTAAGAAAAAAACCCTTTATATGGACATAGGAAGCAGTACTAGAGATACAACAGATGAGAAGCAACATCTACCGGCAAAACACCATCTCCTTTGTATATACACTGCAACTCTTAAATGTGTAATAATAACTACTTAAAATAAATTTTATTAAAACAAATTATTATTAAGCAGCATTCACTCAAAACCTTGTGATTATGTAAACTAGAAGAAAGTAAGGATAAAACAAGGGTATGTATGAGAAAATAATGATGGACTGAATGAAGAGCAGACTTGTCTGTGCTAATTAACATGACAATTCAAGGCATTTGATATGGAAAACCAAAATGCAGCATAGAAAGATCTATTCATTCTAACTAAAATAGTATGCAAAAAATCACAATGAGTTAATGAGTGAAAAAAATAAACTTCCTCCCCCTCTCGTATCCAAATCTGAGCACTGAATAGAGGGGTTTTCTCTGTTTAGGTTTCTTTTCCATGTTTGATTAGAAATCATTGAAGGGTGCTAAAGTGACAATTACTTGATTATTTCAAAGCATAAGTAGGACTGAAAACTAAAATGCTACCAGGGAGGCTGCATTTAGCTATGGCAAATGGGGTACTATGTTACCCTGTAATGTATTCTCCAATGATCTACGTTACTGAATGGATTATATTATCCATTTTGAACAATAAGTGTTTTTGTGGGTTTGGTTTCTTTTTTACACATGGATATGAACACATTGAGTTTTTTTTCTTTCTTAATTTGCTAGAAACATTGCTTTTTAAGATACTTTGGACTTCTGGTCACCAAGTGGGAGACAGTATCTATGTATTTATATATGAATGTTCATATCTATAACAGAGTTCAACTCATTTAATTGGTAAAGGAAATTATTTTCTTAAAGAGTGTTTGGGATGAAAAAGAAGTAGAAGGATGCATGATTGAATTATTGGAATCTAGTGGAAAGGTAGAGCTGCAGTGAGGCAGAGCTTTTGTTTCAGTTCATCAAAACATCTTTGCCAAAGCTTTAGAAGTTTAGGATCCAACTTACATGACTAAATGTTCATCTATTAGGTATGGTACAGTGTCTTTGTAAAACAAAACATGATACAGCTGCCTTAGACTGGCTGAATGTTGTTGCACATATAAATGCTTATGCTTCCACATAAATCTGCTAATACAAACTTGTATTTATCTTGGATTCAAGTGAAATACAACAGTAACGGAGCTAAAATGGAACAAAGGGTATTTCTTAACTTCTCTTATCATAGTGAAACCAAAGAAACACAGCTAATTTCAGAAGACATTTTTGAAAGATACATATATCCAGAATTAAAAGGTAACAGTTCTGCTGTTCTAGGGACTTCGTAAAAATTGGATTATGGATTCTAGAGGACATTTACTCTGCCACAAATCTTCACTGAAAAAAGATGTTTAAAGTTCATTCTTTGGCTTAGTCCAAAAAAACAGTGTTAATTTTCCCTCTGAAAATTCTGTAGCCATGTAGTTATCTTGAAGGATGTAGGGGAATTATATAAACTTGTGAAATCTGTGGATTGCAGAGGACTTTATACAGTTCTGAGGAAGTCACAACAGCTTTTATACATGGAAACCTACGACACAGTCTAATGGTTTAGGTGGGTTTTTTGTAATCATGGTTGTGAATAACTATTTAAGAGTTACATGTCAGAGTTTAGCTGGAAGAACATATTGGCTATGCCATGTAAGAATAAAGATCCAGGTTTTGTAGTTGCTATAACCATAGTTTCTCACTATCAAATAATACTGGTCTAAGCTACCTTGAGTCACAAACAGAATAGGATTTTTGAAGAAAGATGGGCTTGAACAAACAGGAAAAATATATTTCATTGAATCTACTAGGTAATTTATTTTATTATATTTCCTGGATATGATGAACTCAGAAAAAGCAGATGAATATGCAGGTCCCCACACTTTTGTCAGGTCCTTTAAGAAGCAACAATCACACAAATATTACAAAATTGCAATCGGACAAGGGTTTACTATATTTCCACCAACTTCAGAAAGCTTCAGTGCAAACATCACCCCAGAAGACGCTGTTAGAAATTCAGTGACAAGAGTGCCATATACTGAGTGAACCTCTATGCTTCCTGAACCATGTAGGCTTTCCTCCATGCTCTGCAACTCCAGAATACACCCTAACTGTACCTCATTTCATGACCTCAACACAAAGTTAGTTTCAGGATGGCACATTAGGATATATAGCCATTTTAATATTAAAAGCCTTGTTAACAGCTTTTGGAAAATTGCATTAGTCTAATTTTTCCAGAGGAGAGAATAATTGTTGGTGTAAAAAGGAAAAGTCAGTGAAAAACAGATTATGGACACGGGCTGTCAAATATGGTCATTAATATAATACTCATTCCCTATTGCTTGTAGAAGCCACTGGTCTAAATGACACATACAGCATTTCCGAAACAGTGATACAACAATTCATCCTGTAACACAGCTTCTTGCAGATAGCTGCCTCATTAGGCTTGCAAGATAGTAGTTTTTCATACTTAAAAATGCAAAAAAATATTTCAAATGGCATGAAGAGGTAGTAAGCTCTTCATGGGCTAGAGATGTTGCCACTTATCTCTTTCAGTGAAGTATAATACCGGCTTCTCTAATTAGTGAGCATACATATAGATGTGATCCAAAAAGAAAATTTTAAATTGGACAAATGGCAACAGAAGTTTT